TGTTTTATTATGCATGACTGGAGCTTACACAATAAAAATCTATCTTGGGTTGAGTGTGTGTGGAGGTGTTTCAGTGACATGAGTTGAAATGTAAAACGGCTCCATCCAGCTCTAACATTCTGTTTCCTAATGAACAGGCTCACTCATTACTTCATTTCAATAAAACAAGCATTTATTAAGTGCTTACTATGTATATATATACTTACGTCCTGGAGAATACAAAGTCAAAATAAAAAGAGTCCATCATCAAGGAGCTTCAGTTTTACTGGAAGTAAGTTTAGGGATCAGTTAGTTTAACTCACTACCTTCAGAGATAAATCCTATAACCCCAAGTAGACTTGACATCTCCTTAACTGGATAAGCATTTCCTAGTTCCTCTTCTATATCTCTAGCTACTTGGATGTGTAGAAGAGTCAGAAGATGTGGGTTTGACTTTTGTTTCCGATATTTGTTAGCCATGAGACTTAGGGCAAATCATCAGCTGGAAATCCTATCATCCTATGATCTCTTCGAAGCTCAATTTCCCCCCCTGTAAAATAGGGATACTAATATTTGGGGCAGCTAAGTAACACAGACTAGCTGTGTGACCCTGGGCAAGTCACTTAACCCTATTTGCCTAATTTTCCTCATCTGTAAAATGAGCTGGAGAAGGAAATGGCAAACTACTCCAGGATCTATGGCAAGAAAACCCCAAAAAGGGTCACAAAGAGTCAGACATGACTGAAATGACTAAACAACATTTTTGGGGGGGGAGGGGGAGATGGAGGAGTAGCTAGTGGCCTAGTTTGGCCAGAACATAAGAGTACATGGAGGAGAGTAATGTGGAATAAGGCTCAACAGCTAGATTGGACCCGTAATGGAGAGCCTCAAATGCCAGGCTTTTTTTTTATCTGAAAAGTAACAGGGATCTAAAAAAGGTTTTTTTAGTAGGGAGTAATATGTCAGGTCTGGGCGTTAGGAATAGTATTCTGGCAGCTGCGTCAAGAATGGATCAGAGTGACACTGCAAGCAAGGAAACCAAATAGGACACTATTATAATCATCCAGGGTAGTAGTGATCATAGCCTTAAGTGAGAGGGTGGCTATGTGAGTAGAAGGGAGGGAACGATGAAGAAATGTTATGGGAGAAGAACTGACAATCCTGGCGTGGCAAATGATTGGATAATGGGGAATGAGGAAGAGGGAAGAGACAAGAACCTCCAGTTCATGAAGGTGGGTGACTAGGATGGTGGTTCCTCTGATAGAAATGGAGAAAACTTGGTTTTAAAAGGGCAGGTTTAAGGGGGGGGGATGACAAGTTTTGTTTTGGACGTGAATTTATGATGCCTATGAGACATACGGGTGGAGATCATTGATGCAGGTCTAGAGAAATCAGGACAGATTAGGGATAGTTAGATATCCAGATATAGACATCTTCTAGCTCATTTGGACTGCTCATCATCCATGTTTTGCTCACATCATTCCCTATTCTTGTAATTCAAGCACTGTATCCCATAAGCATTTATTATATGCAAGACAGCATGCCAGGTGCTGGGGATGCAAGGACAGTAATAGAACAGTTCCTACCCTCAGAGTTCACATTCTATTCAGGGAATAAAACATATATGGAGGTGTATAAATCCAAATTTTAGTGGGACAGGGGCTATGGGTTGACAAAGAGCACATCAACAAACTTCAGGATCAGAAAGGCCTTGTCTAAGAGGTGGCCCTTGAACTGAGTCCTAAAGGGAGCCAGAGATTACAAGAAGGCAGTTTGTATGTAGTCCCAGAGGCTGCAGATGGAATGCCATCTATGGAGAATACAACCTTCCTTCTCTGCCCAGTGAATTTCTATCCATTTTTTAAAGCCCAAGCCACATCCTCCAAGAAGCCTTGCCTGAAATCTTCTATTTCACAGCAACCTTCTCTTAAACCTCCCATAGCACTTTGTCTTCTAGTGATGTGTGAATGCCATTATTCCCCGTTTGTCTAAAAGTTAGTTGTTAAGCATCGCCTACCATCTTAGTGGGCCAAGGGATTGAGGTGGAGAAGCACTGCTAGCATGGTTAGCCAAGTCTTCCCTGGCCATCGTTGGTCTATTGTTCTGATTCTCAAAGAAAGGCTTTGTTTCATAGCCTCTTGAGGACCAAAAGGGACAGCTTACCAATCCATGATATCACTTGCCCACAGTGATATAACCTCAGTGTCTCTCTCACTGCCTCACATCAGCTTACTCAACAGCAGGGATGAGGCAGAATTAAGAGGCAGCATGGAACAGAGAAGAGAGTCAAGGATTTGGAGTCAGAACATCTGGGTTGAGAGTACAGGTTTGGCTACTTGTTAGCCATGTGAATTTGGATAAGCCACTTATCCTGAACTTTGGTTTCCCTGTAAAATGAGGAGAACACTTACACTACCAACCTCAACGGGATGGTGTGGGGATCAAATCACATACTAGATACAAAGTACTTCACAAATCTTAAAGTTCTAAAAAAAAAAATGCCAGCTATGATTGTTACTAAAAGTAGTTGACTTTCCCAAAAGCTTCATGAAGTACATTATAGATACCAAACATGCCTGCAGCATTTGGACTAGGTCTTGGTCATTTTCCTGTTTGTAATGGGAGAATGTCTTCATCATTACAGAGCAAAGGATGGACTGACAGCTGACTAGCAAGCAATGGGATGATGCCACCATCACAACAGCTGATGATTCAGAATGTTTTCATGGTTTAAAGTGATGGCACCTCTGATGTTATTTATCCCTACAAAGCTAATGGCTATGTATAAGGAAACCTTTAGCTTTCATCGGATACTTGCATAAGCTTTACCATCTCCCATTCTATATACAGATAGTCCAATAATTTTTAAATTCTCTCTCCTGGATCTATTTTCCAGGTCAGTTGTTTTTCCAAAGAAATATTTCACATTCTCTTCTATTTTTTCATTCTTTTGGATTTGTTTTAGTGTCTTGATTTCTCATAAAGTCACTAGCTTCCAATTGCTCTGTTCTAATTTTTAAGAAAGTATTTTCTTCAGTAATCTTCCCATTCTGTATACAGAAAGGACAAAGTGAGGCAAGGTGTTTGATTTATCCATTGACCTATATACCAAAGTCTAAACATATCTCTATGGTGCTGTGCTACCTATCATGTATACTTCTGCCTGACTTCTGATGGCCTCATATTCTATCTTTATCTCAATCTATCCAATCTTTTCTTCCACTGCTTATTACAACTTCCTGCCCTGTCAAAAGCCTTTATTCCAACAGGTCCAATGTCCTGTCTTGAGAACATGAAGCTGAGTAATCAGGAGGATGGTAGTACACTTTGGTGGGATTAAGGGTATTCACAACTCAAAGCTTTTTCTCATGTTGTTTCCCCTACCTGGAATACCTTTTACTTTCATTTTTCTGCCTGTCAAAATCCTAACGCCATGCTCTCTTTTGAGAGCCCCACCATTCTTCCAAGTTCACAACCTAAGGGTCTGTCATCATTAATGCCTCCCTTTTCCTCACCCCACATACCATCTCTACACTCCTAGAGCCCTCATCACTTCTCACGTAGACCACTGTGCTAGCTTCCTAACTGGTCTCCTTGCCTCTAGTCCCTCCCCTTTCCAAACCATCCTCCACACCAATGCCAAAGTGACTTTCCTAAAACACAGTTCTGACCATGTCATTCCCCTACTCAAACTCCAACAATAGTTCTCTGTTACCTCTAGGATCAAATACAAAATTCCTCTATTTGATGTTTATAACTCTTTGTAACTTGCTTTCAATCTACCTTCCCGGTCTTATAAATTCTGCCCCCTTCATGCTTTCTCCAGTCCGGGCACACTGGCCATCTTGCTGTTCCCCACATACAACATTCCACATCCTATCTTGGTGCTCTTGCACAGGTGGGGCCTCACGCCTGAAAGGCATGCCCTCCTCAACACCTTGTCTCTTCGAATCTCCATTTCCCTTCAACACTCAGCTCAAATGCTACCTCCTTTCTTGATGCCCCCCCACCCAGCTGCTAATATTCTTCCCCCAATCGCCTCATAATTATTATGTGCATACTTACATATGTACATGTCATCTCTCCCAAATGAATGTAAGCTATTCAAGGGCAGGGACGGTTTCATTTTTGTTTTTGTATCCCCAGTGCCTAGCACATTAATAAATACATATTAATTCAAGGTCCAGCTCAAGTCCAACCTCCATAGGAATCCTTTTTACACCTGCTTTAGCCAACACAGCACATTGAATTCCCACAGCACATTTTTTGGGCCGCTCATTTTAAGGGCTTCAAAGGTCTATGAGGTCATGTCTTTTCTTGATATTCTGCACATAGCAGGCACTCAACATGTATCTACTCAACTACTCAATTATAATACTCTGAAGGTCAGGGACCATGGTATATTTCTTTATATCATCCTTAGCAACCAACACAGTGCTTTTGGTCATTTTCAATCATGTCTGACTCTTTGTGACCCTATTGGGGGTTTTCTTGGCAAAGATACTGGAGTGGTCTGCCATGTCCTTCTCCCGCTCCTTTTACAGATGAAGAAACTGAGGCAAACAGGGTTATGTAACTTGCCCAGGGTCACAGATTTGAACTTAGGAAGATGAGTCTTCCTGACTCCAGGACTGGTGCTCTATCCACTGAACCACCTACCTGCCCCTAACACAGTGCTAAATACATGATAAAAGAGTCCATATTATGTTACTTTGAGCTATTTCATTGGCATGGTTAGGGCTTTTCCCAAATGCAGATAAATCCTTCACATCTTCTGGTCCCATGACTCTGGTATTTATTTCCCACAAACTTTTCATAAGAGGAGGCCACCTTCCCTTTTCTTTAGTACCCCACAGGTACCAGCATACAGCTCAAAACGCTCATCTGCTATCTCTCATTTCTGCTGTGAGCAGACCCACTCCTTTCCCACTCACGTTTATTGTACAATCATCAATATGACTCCAAACTACACCAAACCTGCTGATAAGGTAATGTTGAACTGTTTAAGGAAGAGCCTAAAATTTCTTTAAAATCTTCATATTTTTAATCAAACATATTACAGTGCAAATGGCGTAAGTGCTGACAGAAAAGTTCACGTGCATTTTTGCTTCACACATTTTTCTTCTGATGTTGAAAATTACACTGGACGTAAGCCATTTTCCAGGCTAATTTTCCACTTAAATTAAACCTTGAAAGCATTCACTGAAATCATTATATTTGGCAAAGCCATAGACTGAAATCAAGCAGCATTATATTATTATAGTATAAAAAATGTATGAATCTGAAAAGAACTAAGCTACAGAAGCAAGAGACGTGCCATTCTGAGACTCCCGGCCTGGGGAAGGGAGTGCAGGGCTTCCCTCAGGAAGAAGCAAGCATGCCCTTTAAACCTGCACACTGGAATGTATGGAAAATACAAGAGAAAACTGGGCTTCTACAGACCAAAGCATTTGTGAAGCAGTACATTCTTCTTTGTTTTTTAAAGATATTTCAATCCAAATATATTAAGAAGGGTTTCCAACCCTCAATGTTTTTCTTTTAAACAATTTAAATCTAAGCTGCAGGGATCTATGGACTTTTTTTTCAGAATTCTCTTCACAGCACAGCTGTAGTTCTTTTTTAAAAAACGCGATAATATTCACCTTGTACTTTATGTGTTACAAATAAACATAATACATAAAAAGAAAAAGTTTAGATCCTGCTTCAAAGCATTATTCACCTAGTAACCTTGGGTATACCTGAATAGAGCCAAACTTTTAGGAAGCGTTCACTTAATATTTTAGTTGAAGCGAAATACAAGGATGTTGGCTCTTGGCACAAAGACTGTGTGATGCTCCCGGAGGCTCAACTGAAGTCTCTGTTGGTTAGGAAAACAGGTGCCACGAGGGTCCAGAGATAGAGGATGAGGCAAACCCAGCTGGAGGAGATCTTTACCCACACAGGGCTCCACTTGCTGGTCACTGTCTGGAACTCTACATCAGGGCTAGAAAGAGAAGAGGACATGAGACACAACATCCTCCTTACTTCCCGGGATTCTTGACTGATTTTGTTGCCTAAATCCGTCATATTTAGGAACTGGATACCATCATCTGATTAGGAATCATTTTAACATGAAATTTGGTTGAAAGCAGGCTTCAAATAAATACGGTTGTGAATGATGCCGACACAGCCAAGACAGGCTGCTATTTGTGCTCTCGGGCTTTGAGGGGAGCTGTTCTCTTTGTTCCTGTTTCATGGAGAAGTGGACAGCTAGGAGGGCCAGCTAGGTGGCGCAGCAGAGAGAGCTCTTGGCCTGGAAGTCAGGAGGCCCTGAGTTCAAATCTGACCTCAGACATTTCACACTTACTAGCTGTGTGACCCTGGGCAAGTCACTTAACCCTAACTGCCTCACAAAAACCCAAAAACAAACCAAACAAACAAACAAAACAGGACTAAGGACCAACTACCAAAATGTCCCTTGCTTGTTTTCTTCCTGCCTTTGCCTGGAATAGTCCTTACCATCTTTGCTTTCTGTAATTTCTTCTAAGTCCCAGCTAAAATGCCACAGGCTCTTCTAGTTAGGAAAATAATGAACATTCTTTTCAGAGACCATGCACTGACCTCAGTTTGCACCACTTTTATGCATCTAAATTTCATTTTGTAAATGTTATGCAAGCATAAGCTTGCCTGAGTTATGATCAATCAAAATGTTGGAAAACAGAATGGGCCTCGTGCTGAAGAGAGACCACCACCATAGCCTATCAGGGCTGCCCATTCTCCTCATCTCTCTGGGCCTAAAGATGAGGCAGTGAGGACAGTGAGCTTACCTACTCGTCCTCACCTAGTATGTATGTACAACTTACAATCTCCTCTTCATCAGGGGTCAGCTGCCCCAGTGATAGCCAGCTAGTGGTGTGCAGACATTCATGCAGCGATGAAAAGTGTGAAAAAAAAAAATCTTTGAGGCTGTATGCACATATGAGTAAAAGTATTTTGGTAAGCTAGCATTCTGCATCTTGGTTGGTGTCTGTCCTGATTTTTCACTCCTCAGACGTATCTAGGCAAAGTTTAGCAGTGCTAATTTGATACTTCCAATTCCCAAGATTTTATGTTAATAAAAAGACTATGAATTATCATTGCATAAGGCCTAGTAATAAGCCTCCAGAACAGTTAGCAAAGGCCAGTGTTTTAGCATCAGCTGTCAGAGATAGTCTGAGAGGGACAAAAAAGACAGCATTTAGGTCTAGTTTAGACCCAACCATTACTAGCTGTATGGCTTTGGGTAAGTCACTTAATTTTTGCCTTCATTTGTTAATCTACAAAGTGGGACTGAGAGGTGACATTGCATAGTAGATTAAGAGCTGGCCTTGGAGTCCAGAAGATCTAAGTGCCAGTCCTGCCTCTGAGATAGGCTAGCTATGTGATCCTGGCCTGGTCATCTCAGGGCCCCAGGCATCTAAGAGGTAGGTTCCTATACTAATGAAATCACAGGGCTGGCACAAAAAAAAAATGATGAAGTGAGGACACATGCTACCTATCTCTTCATATGAATAGGAAGATTAAATGAGATTACACAAAAGCAGTTTGTAAACCACCGACCTCTATATTGTCAGTAATTATAATAACGAGAATAATTTATGAGGTCTACAATTTGATTTTTTGGCTTATACCTTTGCCAGTTGGTCAGGGTCATCATGATGTACAAAGTGGCCAGGAACATCATCAAGTGGAAGACAGAGTAACTGTACTGCACTCCATCTTTCTCATTGTCCACAGCTCGCCGCGGTTGTCCATCTTCTATGTCTTTCGGGCCATGTGAGGAAGCATCATCCAGTATCACGCTGTCACTCCCTGAGAGAGTCAGCTTGCTTACCTGACTGTTGTTGGAAGAACGGATGCTGCAAATGGACCCCCAGAAAGAAAAGTCAGAAGGGAGACAACACGCTTGGTTGTTGCCATTACATGGTGGTATGGAATTTCTCAACTCTATCACCTATTTTAGGATTCACTGTCTTTTTACAGTCTGTAGTTGTTGATTGCCACAAGACCATTTAAATCAGCCAGTATGCTTCAACATTTACAACTACTGCTATCCATACCATATTGGAGAGGCCAGGGAAATGCAATCTGGCTCCTAAAATGACCACCCTGGCTGGTCCAGGGGAGCTAAGGAGCCCATCCCTCCTGTTTCATTCAGACTGGGAACTTTTCAGATGAATAGGTGACATTCTCTGCTGGCAAAGCTTACTTATTGTTAACAGGTAAATGAAGTTGGGTCAGTAATACAAGGAAAGGACCAGGTATGCTTAGAGATACTACCCTTGCACTTCCCGTTAGAAAGGACAGCTGAGAGTTTTCACTTTGAGGATGCCTAAAATGGCTCTGTTGCTACTAAATGGAGTGAGACTTATAAAAAAAAAAACCAAAAAACTAAGGTCCCATTATTGCAGATGATGTCCCTACCTCATTCTGAGTGTGAGACTTTCTTAACTTAGAGAGGTGTGGTATCATGGCCAGGATACGGAGACCTGGGTTCTCCTCAGGCCTCTGCCATCATTGGCATTTGATTCAAGTCATTTCAGTCCTTGAGACCTCAAGGTTTCTCACTTACATAACAGAGAAAACTGTTGAAACCTCCCCACAAGTCTGCTGTGAGGGTCAAATTAAATGCTTTTTGGAGGCACTATCTAGGTGTGTGCTGTGATCACAAACTCACGTGGAATACAGGAGGCAGACGACAAAGATTATCAGTCCAGCAAAACTCTCTAAATCTAGCCACCGCCCATTCTGTGACAATGGAGGAGCAATGGTAGACACTGAGACAGTTGTGTTCCCAGGAGTCAAGGTGGGTGTAGTTATCTGTGTGATGATGCTCAATAAGCCTGGGTTACAGGTTCGATCTGAAAGTAGGAGATAACATGTATGCAAATGTAGAGTTGTAACATAACCTTCAAATAGCATCCAGGAATAGTTTATTTTGCATGTGATCTAGTTCTAGTTTTCATCCAAAACCAATTTGATAAAACTCCAAATTTTCACTTCAACAAGCCCTTACCAGGTTCATTGGACATGGCTGACCATGTGAGATAAATGGTATAAGCTGTAATAATTGAGGACTGGAGAAGGCCAGAGCGAGGCTGATGTTCCTGTTTAATAAAAAGAGGGGAAAATATATACATATACATATATGCATGTGTGTGTATGCTAATATTTATGTAGCACTTTACAAATATTTGGTTTTTGAAGCAGTTCTGCGATTTAGATGGGATAGGGATATATAGTTTGTAGGTGATAAAACCAAGGATAAGAGAAGAAAAGAAACATAATAAAGAAGCTGGGATTTGAACCTAAATCTCTTGACTCTTCAATTTAATGCTTTTTTCCACTACAATAGGCTACCTCTCCAAAAAAAAAGGTCAATATATTTTATTGACAGCTTTTGGTTTTTGCAAATCCGATCAATTTCTTTACTCAAATATTAATTAAGTGGGTTTTGTATTCTGCTTGAGAACTTTAAAGATGACAATTTTTGGCTTCAAATGAAAACTAATATAGATCAATGAGTGAAGGAAAAAGAATAAATGTTCTTAGTAACCCCCACACCGCCCCCCACCCCCAGATTCTGCTGTGACACAACTTATTATATACCTTTCTCACAGAGCTGTTTTGAGGAAAACCCTTTGTAAAACAGTATGATCTTATATAAGATGGGCTATTATTATTACATAAATGTGAACTACATAATTATGGCATGGTATTTGGGTACCTTAAACCTGTCTTAGATCCTGTTGTGTCGGGGGGGGGGCTTCAGTTATTAGAAGTATGTGTCATGGTAGTATGGCTTCTACTTATAATAGGATCCTAATCATGTTACTATAATGAGACTTTAGTATATCATTAAAACACTTTGGATTTCTAACAAATAGTATAATGAAAGGGTATTTGACTGGGAGTTAGTTGGAAGACATGGGTTCTAGCCTGTGCTCTACTACTAACTTGCTGTATGACCTTGGTCATATCATTTCACCATTTTTAGTTTTATTTTCCTCTTCTGTAATTAATATTAGACAACTGGGCTAGGCATTTAAGGTTCTTTCCAGCTCTTATGACTCAAATAAACCCATTAAAATAGAATATGAAGACCAAATGCAAAGTAACATTTTTTTTTATTTAAAGGAAGACCAAATTGTCTCAGGTAAGAAAAACTGCAGATTTTTTTTTTCTGGAAAGCTGTAATAATTTTAAACCTTTTAGATTTTAATGATCCATAAGGGATCACTCATAAAATTTATAGAATGTTAAGGAAAGAACCTTAGAGGCCACGTCCAAATCTCCAATTTTACAGGTGAATAAACTAAGGCCCAGAGAGGTTAAGTGAGTGGTGGAGCTGGGATTGAGGTCCTCTCACTCCACGTGCAGTGCTGTTTTCTTTTGCCCCATGCTGCTTCGGCTAATATGGGGGAGGGGAGGAGACTTAACCTTTTTTGGAGTGTTATGAGCCCCTCTGGCATCTGGTGGAGCCTACAAGACTCCTTCTCAAAATGTTTTTAAATGCATAAAAGTGTCATAAGAGTTTCTTATTAGCATTATTATCATTTACTAGTTGGGGTCTAGAGCTGCCACTTATGTTAGGAAAAGTCCCCTAGCTGGCTGGAGCCTTTCTTATGATGTGTTAAAATTTGCTGAAGATTCTCAGGTATTTCTTATTTAAGATAAGGAACCAGGACTACATAAAAGGAATTGATGACTTGATTTATGGTCCTCAATTTCCCAACAAACCCTCTCTGTTTATTGATGTACCCACAAGGAAGCCCTGGCTCTTAGTTATCTTTTGGTATATGAATCCTGCCCCTCTCAATTAGCCCACTGTAAACTCTCCAGATGGAGTCTTGAAATGTAAATCTCACAAACCGAGCTTTGAAATGTAATTCTCTTTAGTTTGTCTTCAGAGGCTAACCTGTTTCTCCTTTCCTCAAGTTATATGTAAGACTCTGCCTTCCCTCTGACATGGGTGTAAGACCAAAAAAAATTTTTTTGTCTCTCTGATGTAATTAAAAACTATATAAAACTTCTTTACGCTCTGAATGGGACCCAAAGTTTATCAAGGATTTCAGGTCTGAGCTTAAGAATATAATGCAAATCTTAGTTTTGCTTCCTAGATCTTTGCACGTTGATAGTTCTGACTAGTAGCAGTACCTATATCAGCAGACTCCATGGTTTTTTCCATAATGTCATGTACAAGATTACAAAGGAAACCAATTATAGTGAAATATGGCTATTAAAAAAATTTAAAAACAAACTTGTGGAGCCCACGTCAGAATGCCTGATCTAAAGCAACACCCAACACGGGAGTCCCTTCTACAACATTCCTGACACATGGTTAGTCTGCCTAACTCATCCAGGAATGGGTAACTCGCTGCCAAAGCAGGCCATTTAAAACCATGCGGACAAATTATATTTACATGAACCTACAGATAATTCCCACTCTTTTTTCTCATGAGAGACTAAACAGACTTTCAGAGCAAAAGGAATCTTAAACAAACATCTAAATACAACCCTAATTCACAGAGAAATTAGCCAAGGGAAATGACTTATCCAAGATGAGACAAAAAGTCAATGGATCCCAATGCGGCAGAGATCAGAATCCAAGCTTCCTGAAACGTCTAAACAATGCACGCTAGTTAAGTCATAATGATTTGTAAATGAAATATTAACAAAAAGAATGTCAGCAGGAGAAAAGTAAAACAGAAAACATGTGTCAATACCTGAATTTTTGGAAGAATTGAGACAATGGATACCACCATGCAAAAAATCAGATTTAAACTGATAAATAACTTGTTTTCCGTGCAGGCGTCAGTTTTGGTGTAGAATACATACAAGAGCACCACGCCGATGAAAGACAGGATGTAGAAGAAGCTTGTAAATGACAGCAAAACTACAAAACAGGAAATCAATGTTAACTTCCACAATCTGAAGCAGACACCAAATAGGATTTAGGAAGGGGTCTTTTCTTCCCCCTCTGCATAAACTGAGGCATACTTTCTTTCACTTTTAGTATAATCAGTGATTACAAATGGAAACATAGCAGGCCCCAAGTTTATAAGAACAAGTTATTTTGCTCATGTTATATGCTCACCAAGCACCTAAAACCATGTACTAGGTCATGTCATTCTGATTTCCTGGGTTGGAAAAGCAGTTTATCAATCCAGTTGGAATTATTTCTTATTACCTGTAGGCAGACCTGTACTTGGGATAAACAAATAGTTTAAGTCACTGCAATATCTCCTAATGGCTTGAGTTTGAATCCCATCTGACAAAGTTGGTGTTTCCATGCCCCCATATTTATCTATTAAAGTTCATCCCCTTCTTTAAAAAAAATCATTATTTATTGGCATCTTTATCATTTCAAATTTTGAGTTCCAAATTCTCTCCCTTCCCCTCCTCCCACAACTGAGAAGGTAAACAATAAATCAATTATACATATGTGAAAACATTCAAAACCTATTTCCAAATTAGCCAAATAATATTTCAGAAAAAAAATAAGAACAAAGAAAGTGAGAAAAATACTTCAATTTGCACTCAGAGTTCACCAGTTCTCTCTCTGGAGGTGGACAGCATTTTTCATCATGAGTCTTTTAGAACCGTATCCATCAGAGTAGCCAAGTCTTTCACAGCTGATCATCATTACAATATTGCTGTTACTGTGCACAATGATCTCCTGGTTCTTCTAACTTCACTTTTCATATGGGTTTGCCATATTTTTCTGAAAGCATCCTGCTCATCATTTCTTTTTTTTTTTCCCATATGAGGCAACTGGGGTTAAGTGACTTGCCCAGGGTCATACAGCTAGTAAGTGTTATGTGTCTGAAGCTGGATTTGAACTCAGGTCCTCCTGACTCCAGGACAGTGCTCTATCCACTATGCCACCTAGCTGCCCCCTCATCATTTCTTATAGCATAATAGTACTCCATCACAATCATACATCACAACTTGTTCAGCCATTCTCCAACTGATAAGCATCCCCTCAATTTCCTGTTCTACTATACTATAAATATATTTGCTTCTATACTATACTACAAACATATTTGCACATATAGGTCTTTTTCCTTTTTCTTCATCTTTTCAAAAAGCTTAGCTTACATGCTACCTCTTTCAGGAAGCCTTCCATGACCCTACTACCTCCTAACTGAAAGTGATCTCTCCCTAACAGTACTTTGCCTGGACTTCTTTTGCATACTTCTTATACTATTCCTGGTATCATAATTATTTGGGTACATTATAACAGTCTCCCTGTTATATTATAAGGTCCTCAAAAGCAGGGTCCATGTATTCTCTCTACCTTTGTATCTCTAGAACTGTATACAATAAGAACTTAATAACCATCAGAGAACCTAAATTTTCAGTGAGAACCTGGGAAGGATCCTTTCACCCTCTAGGCAGTTCAATTTCTAGAATACTGGTTGCAAGGGACCATGCTGAGTGGACATAGTAAAAATCCTAAGGCAGGCAGGAAAGGGACCTGCACTTATAGCAGACTTCAGATCCTGTCCTATAGTGAGATGCTTCTTTACATGGCACAGCAGCAGTAGGATCATGGGATTTAGAGCTGGAAAGTAACTTAGAGGTCATTTACTGCAACTCCATTTTACAGAACAAAAACTGAGGCCTAGAGAGTTGAAGAGCCTTGCTCAAGATTATACAGGTAGCAAGACACCTGGGATTTGAACCCCAGTGTCCAGATTACAAAGCCAGTGCTCTTTTTATTATATCACATGAGAAAGTGCTGATGAGCACAAACCCAACAACTCTTCTATGTGAGCCATTATTCATTTGGAAGATCAGAGATCTAGAAAGGTCATAGGTGTCACATTAAGACCAGTCTCCTGCTCAAAGGATTAAGTATGATACTCCTGACAATGGATGCCTCAGTGATAGGGATGCCTCACTACCTTTGTGAGGTAGTCCAGTATTTACTGACTAGTAACCAAAAATGTTCAAGTTCTCTAAAAAAAGCAAGCTACATAAATAAAATTAAAATGAGGTCGAGGTGTCTGATGCTTGTCCTTAACTAGACTTTTTTTTTTTTGGCGAGGCAATTGGGGTTAAGTGACTTTCCCACAGTCACACAGCTAGTGAGTGTTAAGCGTCTGAGGCCAGATTTGAACACAGGTCCTCCTGACTCCGAGGCCAGTGCTCTATCCACTATGCCACCTAGCTGCCCCACTAGACTTCTTTTGATGTCATGCCTTCTATTCTCAGGCGATAGAAACACTAGGCTATAGCATCCGGATTCCAAATCAGAAGTCTGAAATACAATTTCTAGAACAGAATGAAATTCTCAGCAATGCATTCACTGATTAAAACCTGACACTTCAAGATAAGATAAGTATGCCAATTTCCAAATGTGGAACAAATGTAGGATACCTACTGGACAGGAAGTCAAAGCACACAATTATTTTCCCTAACATGGGATGTCCATCCTAATCTAAGCATGTATACCATCTCACAACATAAATACAAAACCACATAATCTTAAATTCTTCCTTCCCTTTTTTCTCTAACTCCACTAATCTGTAAAATGAGAGAGTTAGGATAGTCTCTTTCCAGCTGTAACCTTCTATGTTCCAAAGTCTCTTCCAGCTTTAATATTCTGTAACTTGAGATTTGGTTGAACTGGGAAATAAATAACGGTTCTTTAAAAAAAAAAACCCAAACTTTTCATCAATGGCTTTTACACATTTGAAACTAATGAGATTTGACAACCTTGTTTCATTTACAAAATAAAGCTCTAATAATAATCTGTTCAGACACCTACCTGCATACCAGCACCTAGCATTTCCTTCTTCCATTCGATTGACCCAACCCTCGTTTAAAGAGTGGGCAAAGTCCACTAACAGTATCAACTGTATGAGGATGTATAAGGTGGCCCCAAACATTCCAATAAAATGCCAGGCTACAAGCCAAAAGGAAGACAGTACTTAGTTCACATTATAGGTTAAGGCAAGACAGTCACATTGGTTTCAACTCAGATGAGTACATGGTAAAGAGAATCAGGGAGTTCTTTTGCTGGGCTGCTTCAGCCCTTGTTTAACCTATACCAGAAATCCATACATATCATTCAGTGTATGTTAAAGATATCAAATTACAACAAAAAAACTAACAGCAAAGATATTGGAATCCTTATGGGGACTTATGTTAACTCATCCATATTACAAAGGACTTCCAATAAACATACTATTAAAACATGGCAAGGAGAGCAAGCAAATTAGCCTTTGTTTCCAGGCAATTTGCTATTGCTGACATCCATTAATTAATGCCTAGCCTCCATAATATTTTATATATACATATATATATATATGTATGTATATATATATATGTTACAAACTGATTACTATGGTATTTTATAATTTGGAAGTCATACCTGTGCTAAATGGGCCCCCAGGAATGTAGAAAGATCCAACCATGAGACCAATAATGGCAACAACTTTGAAGAACCAGAACCTATTAAGACATAAAAATGTTTCTCTGAAATGTTTCTGCCATCATACAAAAACAGACTGCTAAAAAGCAGAAACACAGTGCCCAGTTAAATGAAGCATTAACAAAAGGACTGACTTCAACTGGATTTTCCATACTTATTTCTTCATTTTAAATCTAAGGAGAAACATGACCATAGATAACATGTCATTATTTTACATTGTTTTATAAATGAAGTTTTAAATGTTTACCAATTTTGTACCTAATCATAATTCTTTAATACTTCATAGGTCGGGAATTTTATCAGTGTGGGTACACCTTAGACTAGTGCAAATCAGAACCTCTCAATACCTTGCCAGAGTATCTTCATAAATTGCTACATAAAAAAAAAAATTAATCACACTGTCCAGTGGCAAACTTCTGGCCATAACTAATGACTAACTCATAAAACAAACAGAAAATCTGAAGAATGCTAGATCTACTGAATTAACTTTTTTTAAAAAAACTAGACTTTTATAGCTAGAAGGACTCTTATAGATTATGTTAAGTAAATTATTACCTGACTGTCAGTCTAATACTCCTTTAGGGCTATGAGTCAGTTAAGCTTGGACTGTAGCACTGAATCTGCTACCAACTACTTATATGATCTTAGGCAAGTTATTTTTTCATTGCTGAGCTTCAGTTTCCTCATCCATAAAATGAAAAGGTTGGAGATTACTGCTAACATCTGGTCCAGCTAAAAAATTTTGTGATCCCAAGAATACTAATATCAAAGAAACAACATGTGTTTAAAAAAGACTTTTAAGAGATTTGTTAGAATTCACTATTTATTTACATGTAGCTGCATAGTTACCAATAACTATGAGAAAAAGACAAGATCAAGTAGATGTTATCATATACTGAAAATTAACGTAGGTGGACATTTATGATTCCTACATGCAGAATGCTACAAATCAGCAACGATTGTTCTCTTATGGAAGTAAACTCAAAAGACAGGACATAGCACACAAATTTAAGGCCTCAATGCCCACATCTGCTGCATCCTAGCCCAGGAAGCACCGGATCTTAAAAGTTGCAACTTCTAAACAAACAGCTTGTCTTTTTTTTGTCACACTTCTCACAACAGTTTTAGTTGCTGTTCCGCATTTTCCCTGTTGCTCCGCTCTCTAACAGCACATATGCGATGAAATTTAACCAGAGTTTAAGGCCTGTTTCTTATGCTTCCATAGTAGCAAATGTGATTGGAAAAGGATTAGGTAAAGAGGCCTATGTAACAGAGATCTGTAAAGGTACTGGGAACGTTCACAGGTACTTTTCTGAATTTAAAATATTGGGCTTACTTACATAAAGATGTACTTTGGGTCACATGACACCTTAAAAGGGGTGAAGAGGGAGTAAAGTAATGCCTTAGCTAGGGCTCACAAGGGAAAATGTGGGCAGAAACTATGTAAACCAAATGCAGGTTGGGAATTTGCAAATTGGATCAGCCTTGACAACCAGAAGTTGAGTGGAACCAACATTAGGTATGATGATATTATGGACTATAAGTATATAATAACCCATTCCTAGGTTGAGGAGCGAGCTAAAACAGAACTGCATAGCTGGAGCTCTGGATTTCTATAGATAACACAGCCAGTACCTCCACGGAAAAAAGTAAAACCAAACCCCCAAAGCTCAGAGGGATAGTTAGTTTAGTGATAGCATAGTTTTGACAAAACTCTAAGCTAGCAAGTTCCTGTTCTGGTCACTGACTTTTAAAATATACTTTTGATTATCTACGCCCTACTATGATATTTCTGGATTTATTTCATGCTAACAATCCTGGTATCCAAGGTTATTTTCCTTCAGGTGCAAAACTGCTTATGATGTGAAATCCAAGAAAGAGGAGCCTGACCTGGGGAATTCCTGTCAGGTTAACTGTTCTCTGACTTTGAAAATGATGATCAAATGCTTTCACATACATTACACCAAAATTATCTAGGCCACTTATCTATATTTGTCCCAAGATTACACTACAATATCCTAACAGGAACAGGGGTGGCATGAAAAAATGTGAGCAGGGAGACAAAGAATGCCTGATAAAAATCACTAAGGTATCACACATACCCATTGTGCACTGCAGCTCTTGGATCTTTACTACTTCTCACTTTTAACATCAGTAGAAAGAATAGAAAGAAAAAGACAGCTAAGGCAAAGCTGATCCGATAGATAGCTTTGTAACCAACGAGGACATCACAAATGTTGTCACTTGTATCATCATCACTCTTGATTTTAAATCCCCCTTCACAGAATCCAGGAACCTGGAAAAAGAAATTCCAGTGTTATTGTGTACCCCATTTTGAGAAAATACACCATATGAAAACCTGTATTTACAAACTAGATGAAGTGAGGGTGATGATGATTTAAGAAAGGCTTCACCACAGGTTTCCATTAAGTTATGAGCATCCCCATATGCTGAAATGAGATTTACTTTATAAAAAAGTTTGCTTTAATAACTTTTCAGGGATTTTTGTGTAAGGCAAGGTATGTTTCTATTTTAAATAGTTTAATAATGCCTGGATAAGCTATAGTGCAAAAGTGACATAAATTCTAAAAAGAAAGCTTGTAAGTTAGTCTCTAGAGATAATAAAATTTTGTCCCAACCATTACCTGAGCCCTGGGTATCTCAGACAACAATGGGTTCAAAGTCCTTTAATTTGGGGTGACAGAGGTAGCACCCTCTCTATCTCTACTTCAGTATAGAGACTATATGAATTTCTCTTTTTTACCATCAGCCCTACCACTCACATAAAATCCTATTATTAAATATTCCAATAAATTGAACTTTCTGAATCAGATGTGAAGTCTTTGTTTTGGGTAAATTAGATCATTTCTGTCTAGTGTGGTTCTCTCTCAGCCTACACGCCATACCTTCTAGCCTTAGAAGTACTAGCCTTGCTTGAAAGGATAAATTTTTATACACTTACTGAAATAAAGCGGTGGGATGACTATCTCTCGTTTTGTTTCTCTTCCTTGCCAGGCCAAAGTGTGAATGTGTTTACTATGACAGTCTTTCCTTACCTCTGAAGTAAAATGTGAAAGCTCCATGATGTTCCTAAAACACATCCCAAAAGGCTACACCTAATCTCATAATCATGAATATGTGAACCATTAAACCCATATTTCCCAAACTCATTTGGTCAGAGAAATCTTGAGGTTTAACATGCACTAGCATGTCCCATGGTTGAAAGGGTATACTGAAAGTATGAAATACCTTTGAGGGGGGAAAGATTAGGAAACTATGAAAGCAAAGTAAAGGAAACAATTTATTTTATTCCTCTTATCCCAAGATATTTCACTTATGTAATTTTCTATTTAATATTTTAGAAGGAAAAATACTACCAACATTAATATTTCCTTATGGAATAGCAGGTTAGGAATACAGTTTTGAAAATTATGAATTAGAACATCAATTAAAACTCACTAGGTTATGTATTGAATCTTTTCCAATGAGCAGTTATTTCAAAATTTAAAATGATAATAAATTAGTAAATTACAGCTTAATGTTAATTCCAAATACCTTTTTCAGCTGTGTTTCCAATCCTTCTGTCAACATAATACAAGAAACAGCTGTGCCCAAGAAAAGGATAAAGGCATAGATAAGGCGAGTCAGAGTTGAATTCCTGACGTTAGGACAGCAACTGCACAGCAAACATGATGCACTGCCGCACAAGCACGGAATCTACAAGGGAATCGTGACAAAATAAAATGTTTTCCTTATACACAGAGAAACACAAAAAGGGAATCAAATACAGTGAAAGCCCTTTATGTTACATATGAAACCTACATTTCATTAGGTTTTTGTCACATAAGTTCCATTTTGGTAGCTATTATCTAACCCAGAGAATAATACACATCTGTGTAATAACAGGGTTATAATGTATTGGGAGTATGTCACAGATGTATTTTTATTAGTAAAAAAAAAAAGTTGTCTATTTTTGGAAGATAGTGTGATATCAAGTAAAAGGAGCTCTAGACCTGGAGCCACAAGGCCTCAATTCAAACTTTGGCTCTCCCATTTACTAGCTGTGTGACCATGCACCATGTTTATTTATAAAAAAAAAAAATGGAGATAACAATGTGAGGAAAGCACTTTGTAAAATGTAAAGTGCTAAAGAAATGTGAGCTACTATCATCTTACTATAGTATTACTTACAAGGTATAAATGCTAATAAAACTTTACTTGTTTATTTAATGGGCCTCCTGGTTATCCAGGGCTGCCAGCATAATGCCCCTTAGATGGAACAGCAGTTTTGGGGATTAAGGAATGCCAGCCGAGATTCATCCAATGGCCATCAGGACTCAGTAAGGTCTTACTAGTCAGCACAAGACTGACAATGAGAGTTCCAGAAAGATGATACAACATGAATCACATATATGTTTATCTCAGAAATACAGACTGAATTGTTTGAAGGCATGAACTTATCAAACCACATTCCAAGGTCATATTCATTAATGACTCAACAGACAGAAACACATGGGTCCCTGGTCTCCTATATCCACAGTCTGGCTCTCAGGATACAACAGAAGTTATATAACCTTCACTGCTTATAGATAATATCTACCTTGGGTTGTTATCTGTAGCCACATCTCAACCATCACTCAAGCCAATGGATTATACTTGGTATCTATTAACTGGCAGAGCTCAAAAAGGTATTAGTGTAATTGAAATCAAGGTAAACTTAGGCACAAAGTTCTGAGCTTTTTTATTTATTAGCAAAACATGAATTTGCCAATAAATAGGGTCTCAGATTCCTCATTGATAGCTAAGACCTCAAGGTGGGGTTTTCAGATCGTTTTTGTAGATGAAAGGAAGCTCGTCCATTGTAAAAGGTAGCATCATAGATGGGGAAAACAACATATATGATTGACTGGAGATCAGGTATTGGGGCTAGCAACAACTCTTTTCATCTTCTTGCTGATTGATTGCATCCAGTTGCAAGGTTAGTTAGTGGTACATGGATAACAAACTAGACTTCCCTTGAAAGACAGAAATAACAGACCAGACTTCCTTAAAGGACCCCTAGTAGGAAAGAGATAACAGATTTCCTTGACAAAGAATAGACCATTGATTTAAAAGAAAAACTGAACTTCTAAACTTAACTTAGACAATGCATATTTTACAGAAAAGCTGAACTTCTAAACTTAACTCGGAGACAATAAAATGTGATTTAAGCAGTTACAAAAACGTCAGTGCTGGGTATTACATTTGAAAATAAAAGTAAGCTGAGAAACAAAGTTCAAGTATGATCAATTTATTAGTTAGGCTAACAGTAAACAAAAAATGGCCTTTCTCAATGACCAAAGACTACAAGGTACGGTTTGCTAGCCTTCATATAGTTTTGGGAAGTATAAGAGAATGAAGAACAGGGAACATCACAGATGGAAAACAAATATGATTGGTTACAAAGTCTGGCAAAAACAATATGATTGGCTGGACATTTGGGGCTAGCAACAACCCCTTACTTCCTTACTGATTGATGAGTCCTATTGATAAATAGTTAGTCTGCTCAGTTAGTTGAACAGAGGTAACGGTCTTCTTGGCACCCACCTGCATTCTATAAGGCTTGTTAGTAGGATAACAGAATCTCCCTTGTAAGTGGGTATGCAAGGCTGTATAGATTTAATGCATTTCTTTGAGCTAAGGTTTATATAAGACAACTGAATTTTAAACTAACTGGGGGGGGGGGACTGAACTCCCAGACTCATGAATTTCTGAACTTGACTCAGAGACGAAGAAATATGGTTCAGGCAGTTACAGAATAGAATTACAGAATGGATTCAAATACAATATAGAATCAATTATAAAGTAGAATCAATTTGAATTTCTCCATGGCAATTCAAAATAGAATCAATTATAAAATGGAATCAACTTGATTTTCTCACATGCCCTAAACAAAGCTGGAAATATGTCTTTCCTTCTCTTCACTGAAAAATGAGAATTCTTAATAAAGCCTATTTTCTTTTGTTCCTGTGTGCCTAGGAAGTTGTGTGACTGTCAACCAGAGACTTCAACCCTTCACTGTGCCATACATAACTTGAATTATCCCAGAGCAAATACTTCCATTCCACTGAGAAAGTAATTTTCTTTCCTTAAAATATTTTTGGTCATAGCAACTCATGTAGTTATTTATAAAATACCACATTAGAAGTGTCACTGTGGTCCCTACCCCATGACAGGAACCAGTCAATGATCTAAATTACCTAACCTTAATCCTAACCTTAATCATTGGTCACCAAAAAAAAAAACCCAACAACTTAGCATTTTGCAGGTTAAGACAATAGCACCAGTTAGTTTATTCTATATGCAATCTCACATTTAATAGAAAGAACAGTTTTGAAGTCAAGAGACCTGGGGTCTTTAAAGGTTCTCTACCATTACCTTGAGCATGTGATCTCAGTCTAGGGCTCAATTTCCTCCCAGTCAAATGAAGTTTCTAAGGTTCCCTCCCTCTCTAAAATTCTGTTAATTCTTTGTTGTTTACTTATTCTGCACAATTCTTAAAATAACTTTCCACTTTGTGGTATATATCTCTGATGAGTAAAGGACCTCTGTCTGATTCACATACCCCTACAGTAACTTGATATTTTGATGCATTCCCATAAAGGAATAGCCTATAATTTTTGCCTACAGTGCACAGTCTATAATCTTATTCTAATGGCAACCAAAGAGGAATGATTACTCCTCCAAGTTGGCACTACTGCCTCCCTTACATTTGAATATGTGGTTGCCTTAAAGTAACAAATGGCGATGACAGATAGAAGGCCCTTGAAACTGATCAGTAAATCATGACTTGCTTGCTGTCTTTGGCTCTTTCCAGATGGTCCCAATTCATAAGTAGGAACAATAGCAGTAGTCAATATTTACATAGTACTTTAAGGTTTGCAAAGCACTTTACAAATCTCCCAATTACAAATCCATTATTTGGCAAAAACAAGTTTGTGGTCACATTCAATGAAAAATGAGTTGTATCTGTTAGTAAATGCTTAATAAATGTTTGCTGACTGATGGCCTGTGGATCTCTTCATATATCTTTTAGTACCATAATTTTTACAGTACCTAAAATGAACAAACCACCTAACTTGGCATTCTAAAGCAAAAACTACTGTTACTTTCAACAAATAGTTTTAACTGACAAATGAAATTTTTAACTGACTAGATCTTTAAATGTTATTTTAAGCTGATATTATTAGTTCTTTTGACTGATAGGATTCCAGCAGCTAATATAGGATTTACATTTAGAACAGAATCACAGAATTTTAGAACTGGACAATACTCTAAAGATCATCTCCAGGGGTAGGGAACCTGTGGCCTCGAGGCTGAAGTTTCCCCCTCCAATCCCCCAATCTATCATCTAATCTACCTAGGGATAAGAAAGATTATCCAAAACCACACAGCAAATTAATGGCTTAATAAGGACAAGAAACAAAAGTCTCCTGACTGTTAATCCAAAGCTCTTTGCACTGTACTAAGTAAGCATCCCTCAAAGTAGAAGTTCGAAACCAAAGCTTTATATTATACTGTACCACTGACAGGTATATGAAATCCCAAATCTTAAAGCAGCATGAAGTAATAAAGCAAATCACTATCTTCCACCTTCAGAAACCGATTATATTGTCACTCAAATTGCTTGGCAATGAAAGTAGATGAAAACAAACCACTCAACTGTGATTTTTAAAGTCTCAAACTTGGCCATCAGCTAGGGACAGAACTGCTTTGGTGAAAAGTAAGTAAATAAGAATAATTTCCAAATAGTCCAAAATTTAGCTTTGATGAGAAATGTCATCAAGAAACAATGAAGGCCAATTTGATTCTAATCTCCCAATTAAGGCACCTTCTTCCCCTGAACCGGTAATGTTTCTCACCAAAGATATTACCTATAGCCCTTAAAGATACCATATTTAAATAACCAATCATCTTCTGTATTTCGGAAAAAATGAACAATGGGGTTGCAAGAGAGACCTTTAATGTTATTTCATCTGGACTACCTTTTTTTTTTCTTTATAGAGAAGGAACAGGCCTAGGAGAGAGGGACTGAGTTGCTCAAAACTAGCTTACACTGGTGACTAAAATCCAGTTTTCTTGATTTGTAGGCAAGAGTCTATCCAAGATACCTCCTCTTGCTGTTACCCACACGTATGCATAATGTTTCGTCTCCTGTCTGTGCCTTTGCATTGGCTGTTCTCCATGCACATCCCTCCACGTCCCCCATTCCCTTCTCACCTTTATATCTCTCAGAATCCCTAGTTTCCTTCAAGATTCAGCTTAAGCTACCTTCAAATCATTTTGCATCTATTTGGTATTTCCCTACTCCCAGCTAGACTACAGGCTCCTTGAGTGCAGAGACTGTTTTCACTTTTGTCTTCCAATATACTCTCCTAGCCTAAAGGGTTAGTGCTTAATAGTGTTTGTTGATTGAATTCAATTACAGTATAAGTATGGTGCCTACATCAACTGTCTGAACAAGATACCCAGTCAAAAGAAAAACAGGATGGAGAGATTTGGGCTGAGAGCAGGATTAGTAGCCACAGTGACTTTCGGGACTGGGAAAGGAAAAAGATTCGCCATAGGAAAACATATCCGAGAGAGAGAGAGAGAGAGAGAGAGAGAGAGAGAGAGAGAGAGAGAGAGAGAGAGACACACACACACACACACACACACACACACACACCACACACCCCCCAAGCCAGTCAAAGTCAACTCAGGTCAAGTAAAAAAAAAACATCATCTGCTTGTTATAAAGTCCTGTGATAGATTCTGTAGAAGATGCAAAGATGGAAATCACCCATCTTTGACAAAGCATTAAAGTTTACAGAATGCTGTCCACACAAAAATCCTGTAAAGTTAAAAATTATTTACTTATATTTTATACATAAGGAAACTCTGGCTCAGAGAGGGGAAGTTGTCAACAACAATACTGTTAAGCTTACTTTTGTCAGGCACTGTCTCTGAGCGATTTTCAATTATCTCATTAGATCCCCACAACAGCCTTGGGAAGTAGGTGCTATTATTATGTTCCCCATTTTACTGATGAGGAAAATGAGGTAAACAGAAGTTAAGTGAACTTGTCCAGGGTCACACAGCTAGTAAGTCCTCTGAGATTCGATCTCAACTCAGATGTTCCTGACTCCAGGCCTGTTTGCGGCTGTATCCGCTGCACCCCCTAGCTGCCCCAAATGCTGTCGAGAACCCTGAAAGTATCACACAGCTATTAATACTTTGGGGCATACTAGACAAGAACCAGAGGTGGTGGTTTCTACTGCTCCTTGTTCCATTCAGTTCTGTGACCAAAGGCAAGTCACTTAACAGAAAGTTCTTCATCTCTAAAATGGTGATAATAACACTAGAGGCATCTACTCTACCGAAGTTATTTATAAGACAGGCACTATATAAATGTGAATTATTCTTGTTATTATCTTTCCTAACTCATTCCTGCTTATCTCCCTTTAGACACTTTTTTCTTTTAATGAAGATCAACAGGGCAACGGAATGTCAGATGGGATCCAATTAGATAATATTTGTAAAGCCCTTAGCAGAGTCCCTGGCGCATAGTAGGGGCTTCATAAACGCTTGTTCCCTTTCCTTCTTTTAATGTCAGATGAGATCCAATGAGATACATAGTAGGGGTTTAATAAATGCTTGTTCCCTACCCGCCCCCAACCGACAGATGAGATCCAAAAGAGATAAACAGTAGGCGTTTAAAACGCTTGTTGCTCTCCCCTCCACCCCCAGTCCCCATAAACGTCAGATGCAGAGCTGGAAGTAAGGGCTCCAGTTCCCTTTCCCTCGGCCCATCAGACGAGAAACAACCACCCTCTTCCCCAGGATCTCTCCCAGGCTGCCAGCGCGCTCCGCCCTCCCCGCCCCGCCCCGCCCCCTCCCATTTCCCTTCCCAGACCCGGGAGCCTGGACTGGCTGGGGTGGGTGGGGCAAAGAGCCGGGTAAATAAACAAAAGGACTCCGCGTCCTGAACTCCAGGACACCGCGGCCGGGCCAGAGCCGCGGGTGGTACCGGGGCCGGAGAGGGCGGCCACCCTGGAGCGGCGGCTCCGCGGCCCCGGCCGGCCCGGGATGCCACCCTGAGGTTCGCGGCCGGGGGTCGGCAGGTAGTCCGCCCTCCTTCCTGCCGCCGGGCCACTCACCCAGCTGGCCACAGAGAAGACTCCCAGCACGGCCCCCATGGCGGCGGCCGGGCCCGACCGTGTCAGCGGCTGCGGGATGGCGCAAGCTCCGACTCCTGCGACGCTGCCTCCGCCGCTGCCTTCTCAGAGCCCGGGGCCGACGGTTCCGCGAGATGGAAACCGCGACCCGCCCCTCTCCCGACGTGTATCATACGTCACTGCGTCGTTCCGCCTACCTCCGCCCCCTCCCTTTCACCAAAACCGGGGGGCCGTCCATTGGTTGAGGAGGGAGGCGGGGCTAGAGGAGCTGTCAGGGGGCGGAGCCGTCTGGGAAAGGAGCTGTCCAGTGGAGGAGTCGTAGTGGGGCGGAGATGTCGAATTGCTGTGAGCTGGCCAAGTTGCAGTCCCGCGGCCTTTGCTCCCGGCCCCTAAGGGGGCCCATTAACTTGGAGAGCCTAATGACGAGTGTCGATTGCGCCCTGCGGAGTCCCCACACTTGTTCTTGGTCCTCCTGTCCCCTCTCTGCCTGGGTGTTACTGCAGAGTTGCTCAAGAGTAGCGTTTTATATGGACATGCGCACAGCGCCCTCCCCCCCCAATGTGCGTCCCGGGGTTCCCAAGCACCCTATCCCAAATGAACTGATTGGTAACAGCCCCGAGCTAGACGTAGGATCACCAAACGGAGCACCGTCTGTCGACATAATGCGGGCTAAGCAATGTCAGTTTCATCCTCCTTTGTAGGGGTTGGTCAGTACTGGCAGCTGGAGAAATTCATTTCGTTTTTAAAACCAGCGTTTTTAAGTGGTGGACTTTAGGAAAGCGTCTGAGGCTTTGGGTTGAAATGTCGCCTCCGAGACTTTTAGTCTAGCAGAGGTGTGACTTTCTGCAAGTGAACTGCTGTGGTTCAATTCTTTCCCACCTTCCACCCAAAAGCAGCTGTTGACTTCATCCTAGGAGTTAGAGCGGAAAAGGGCGCTAGAAGTCTGGTTCCAAGCCCCTCATTTTACGGATGAGAAAATTGAAGCAGACGGTTATTTAAGCTGGAAGTAATAAAGCTAAAAATTTGAACCCAGATTCTTTAACTACAAATTCAAGGCTCTTTCTACTTCATGCTCCCAAGATCTCTGAGAAGTTACAGTCTAGTAGGGAGTATAAATGCATATAGTGAGTGCAAATTGTTCGTTCTTCGTTTTCAGAGGACCAATGACATCATCAGGTGATGTCTTGACTTGTTCATGAATTGGATTTCAGTGAGGCAGAGTTGTACAAAGTCATCAGTCTCACTCTTCCAGAATCATCAAAGTCCAGTGACAGGACAAATTTTAGAACAACTGGATGGCCTGGGATGCAGTGAATGACCTTGGCATCTTGGATGTCTGATCAAGCTCTAAGCTTCCATCAGCAGCCTTCTTTGCCTTGAAACAAATCCTTCTCACCCACATGCTTGGGGTAGACATGCCCTTAACCCACCAACGGTTACCCTCAAGACAGGTTTAGCCTGTTTGCTGAAATGGTTTCCAGAAGAGCTGGAAAGTGGCCACTGAACATACTACAGCTTCTTGGAGCCACAGGTGAGAGTACAAATGATGAACCTCATGAAGTGGTTCACAGGTATTCAAATTCACACTATTCAAATTTATAATTGTATAAAATATAATAATGGATTCAGCCTAATGGAAATAGAAAGTGTAAATTTGAATTTGAATAATGTGATCACTTCAAAGGCTTATTATTTGAAGAAATCTAGTGCTAACTAGACCAGTATAGGAAAGCCAAAGAGCTAAGTAAAGTCGGAGAAAGGAGTGGTAGGAATAAGAGAAGGCATTTATGGAAGATGTGACATTTGAGGTTGGTTTTCTTGTGGGAGATATATATATATATATATATATATATATATATATATATATATATATATATATATATATATATATATATATAGGCAAGTGGGCAGAGGAAGGAGAGGTATTTCAGGCTTTGAGAATGGATTGAATGAATGAATGAATGGATAGCATATATTAAATATGTACTAAGTGCCAAGTGCTATAATCAAGTTGAGCTGCAAAAGCAAAAGCAAGTCAAGACACTAATAGGGGTGTGGTCCCCAGTGAGGGGACCCTGGTGAGTCTTTTGGTTTATGAATAAAGTCTTTAGGGAGTAAATTGACTCACCTATTTTTAGAGTATTGGTAAAGTTTATTGATTTGATTATCATTCTAGAACTAGAAAGGAGTAGAGAAAATGTAATCACCATAGCAAGGCATCCTGTGTTGGTGAAAAGATTGTTGGAGGGTAGAGTAAAGCATGGTTGGAGTCCTCTCTGAAATAGTGGGTATCTGGAAGCACTTACCTATTAGAACAGTGAGGTCCTTTGAGGCAGGAGTTGAAGAATAAAGTGGTTAGTACATACATCATCCATCATCAGGGATTAGTTTCTAGACTTGGACTAGACAGCTGATGAAAGATCTAGGAGAATGGAGAGAGCAGAGTAAAGCAGAGAGACTGCACAGTCAACACCGTGGCCCTAGGGTGCATTTGGGGGTCTGGTGGTAGGAGGTGTTGCCTGCTGCTAAAGGTTAAAAAGTATCTGTGGTGGAGTGGAATGAGCCCTAGATTGGGAGAGTCTGGAGTCCTGGGCTTTAATTTCAATTTGCCATGAGAATAGTGGAGAGTCTAGAATCAAAAGACCTGGGTTCAAATACTGGTACTATGTATAACAATAATAACTAACTAATATTTGTATATCACTTTGAGGTTTGAAATGGTCTTTATATTTTAATCTATGGGCAGCTAGCTAGCTCCCTAGGAAGATCTGAGTTTGAATCCTGTCCCAGACACTTTTATACCTAAGAGCTAGCATTTCTTAGTGCTTTAAGGTTTGCAAAGTGCTTTATGTATATTATCTCATTTTACCCTCACAACCCTGGGAGATAGGTGCTATCATTATCCTCATTTTGTAGATGAAGAAATTGAAGCTGACAGAGGTTAAGTGACTTGCCTATGGGGTCACACAGCTAGTAAGTGTCTGAGGTTATGTTTTAATTCAAGTCTAAATGACATCAGGTCAAATACTCTATCCACTGCACCACTATAGCACCTACCTCACATGTAAAATGCTTTGCAAACCTAAAAAAATGCTATAGAGTTGCTAGCTATTGTTTCATCTGATTCTCACAACAACTTTTTTGGGGAAAGTCCTGTTTGTTATTCCTACTCCACTAGGACTTCTGACCTCCCAGGTTTCCTTTAAATCCTAACTAAAATCCCACCTTCTATAGGAAGCCCTTCCCAAAACCTCTTAATTCCAATGCTTTTCCTCTGTTATTTCCTATTTATCCTGCACTTGGCTTGCTTTGTATATATTTGTTTGCATGTCCCTTCCACCCTCCATTAAATTGTAAGGTCCTTGAGGGCATGGACTTCTCTTTTTGTATCCGATTAGCACAGTGCCTGGCACATAGTAGGTTCTTAAAAATGACTGATTGATTGAGTCAGAGAGAGAGTTTAAGTGACTTGCCATGGGTCACTCACTTGACAAGTATCTGAAGCAGGATTCAAACTCAGATCTTTTTCACTTCAAGTTCAGTGCCAGTGTAGCCATTCCACATTACTCAATTTTCCTTGCTGGGCCTGTTTTCTCAGCTATAAAGTAAGGATGCCAGGCTAGTTGATTTCTAAAGCGCCAAAACCTATGAATGGCATGACCAAAGATCAAGATTTTCACTCTCCTCTTCACACTCCCTGCCCCCACCATCCCTAGGTACAAAGAGAGTAAACAGAAATACCCCAGAGAAGTCTTTTAAAAATATGTTATTAGTTTATTATTAATAACATAATAAATTAAATAGTATTGATATTGTCTCTGAATAATTCTTATATTAACAAATAACAATGTCATTGATGATTACCATTATATTAATATACATTAGTAATGCTATTACTCTTATTTAATGTCATTTATTGATGATATATTAATGCTATTAATAATTACTGATGTTATTTTATTTATTATCTTCAATGCTGCTCTCTTTCCTCATTTTCATTTCATTGTCCCAGCTTTTCCTTTAATCCCTTTCCGAGATCACCCACGGTCATGAAGCCTGTGGCAGGCTTCCCCTCTCCAATTTAACACTCTTTACTCCCACCCTTCCAAGGTGCAAGGAACGGAAGGGGGCGGACTCTGACCGTCATGTCTCATCCCGGCCACCGTAACGCGAGCGCCTCAGGGCCTGAGGGAGCCCCTAGTTGCCCGGGCAACAGACTCCGCTGCCGCTGCAGCTGCTGCCGCTGGTGCCGCCCTGCGGGCGATTCCCCTGGCCCCCGGGTCGCGCTGTGAGACAGAGGCGGAGGAGGCCCAGAGCGGCCCGGCTCCTGCGAACCACAGGTGTGGGAGTCGGTTCGAGGCTCTGCCAAAGGGGCGATCCCCGCCGACCCAAGGGCGCTGTCCCAGCCCGTCCGACCGAGCTCCTGTTGTCTGCCTGGAGGGGCTTAGGCTGAGCGGAAAGGGATCTCAAAGCACCTTCTGTGGGTAAGTGATACTTGGAGGGTCCGCCTCGGGGGACAGGCAGGGAGCTGGGGAGGGGCATCTGGAGCCACCCAATCGTTGTTAGCCTCGCTGTCAGGAAAACCAGATGGAAACAGAGGGATAGGGTATGGGGATGTCTTGGCTCAGTTTCCCCAGTGCCCTTTGACCTTCTGACCGCAGCTGTTTAAACTGCACTCCTGGGAGTCCCCAGAAAAAGGTCAGTGGAGGGGGGGGGAGTGTCTTAGGGATCTTAATGGCAGATGGGATCTTCAGTCAATCAACTAACATTTATTAAGCGCCTAGGATGTGTCAGGCACCGTGCACTAAGCGCCGGGGATATCAAGACAGGCAAAAGCCAGCCCTCATCACTGTCTGCTTAATGTCGAAGGATCCGTCCCTTTTTACAGGCGGGGAAACTGAAGCCGGGAACGGGGAAGGCACTAAGAGCTTGAGCGACAAACGGGAGGAGGATTGAGCAGACGAAGGGCTGTCAGAAGGGCGCGACATCTGTTGGTTTTGGAATTTCTGCCCGTTGTTTTATTGAAAAAAATATATTTGTATACGTGAGAAACGTTAACAAATCTCATTTTTGTAGGGCCCTAAGGTTTACAAAGCACTTCCCTCACAATAGTAGGGAGTACA